GGAGAGAGAGAGAGAGAGAGAGAGAGAGAGAGAGAGAGAGAGAGAGAGAGAGACTGGACTGGAGCCAGGAAGGTGGGAAAATGAGTATGGGAAAGGGGTGGTCCAGGGGCAGGGAAACAGGCTGGCCAGGGATAAAGGGATGAAACAGGAATCAGGTTCCCTTTCTCAGAGTGGCTCTGAGGTCCTCACCTCCACGAAGACGAAGCAGGGGATGATGGAGAAACTTCGCTTCAGGTGAGGTCTCCCTCCAGCCATGGTGAAGGCTGGGCCTGTGGAGGAGGAGGAAGTTCGAACTCCAGGGGCACATGAGTGCATGAGGCTTCGTGGAGTTCTGAGTCTGCTCTTTAAGGTGGTTCCCACCCTGCTGGCCCTGCCCCTGCCCACCGGACATCCTGCCTCTTCTAACGCCAGGCCCTGACTTCTACCTGAGACCCAAGACTTTTTTTTCAAGTTATTGTTTTGTGTGTGTGTGTGTGTGTGTGTGTGTGTGTGTGTGTGTGTATGCATGTGTGCCACATTCTTTGTGTGGAGGTCAGAGGGCAACCTTTCATGTGACCCAAAAGAGTCTATTGTGGTCTCTTTTCTCTACTTTCTACAAAATCCTAATCAGATCTCATGCCTTCTAGGGGGACCTCGAATCAGTCTTCAGAGGAGACACCTCCAGCTTTAGAGAGGGTGCCCTTCTCTTTGGCACCCACCTTAATCACATTTTAGGGAATTTCATCTTCTTCTCCCAGGGGATCCCATGCTCCCTGCCCTCCCACTCCCAGTAGGCCCTTTTCCTAATCCCTTCCATCATGGCCTCCACATGCCGGCCCCCGCCCCACCCCCATGGGCTGTGGTATCTGGTGCGGGCTGATAGCCAGACCCTCCCTCTCTCCCAGCTGCCTCTCCCTCCGCCCCCCATCTTCTCAGCCCAGCTGCCTCCCCCAATCTCCTCTCACCAACCCCCTACATCTAACTTCACTCCTCAAGGGGTCGGTAGCCGATACAGCTCACACCCACAGTGACACTTGCTCTCACCTGTGCCAGCGCCCTAGGGCTTCCCACAGGCCTCCACCTCGACCACCACCGTCTCACAGCCGCTCCCGGAGGCCAGCAGGGCAAAGACACTCATCTCCATTGCACGGATGTGGGAAGTGAGGCCCAGGCAGGAGAGGGGAGGCACTGTGTGTCCAGGGCTCCATTGAGGCCTGCTCCACAGAGTGACACATTGGAGTGAGGGTCACCATAGGTCCCAGATGTACAGAGTCACTCAGACGGGTACTCCCACACGGTACAAACCAGGCACAGCTTCCATCCCAAACTCTATACACAGGGACACCTCAACATGCGACATTCATCTATTCCACAGCAAGATCCAAGCACCCTGTGTGGGGTGCCTGCTTCGTGCTGAGCAAGCCAGGTTTGCTCATTCAGACACGTCCCCAGTACCCCTAAACACACACACACACACACACACACACACACACACACACGCACACACACGTCCCCAGTACTCCTAAACACACACACACACACACACACACACACAGAGTTTGCATATGGCCTGTCACAGACACCCACACAGGCGGAACATACCCCCTCAAACACAGTCAGAGAAACACACAGTCAGACACATCCCAGCCCCCTACAAACCCTCACCCAGATACAGTCATCACCAGACTCCAGGTTGCCAACACATTTAGAGTCACAGCAGAGTCACTGCACACAATGAGAGTCACAGAATGGGTCACAGTGTCACACCCCCAGTTTCAAGGCACTCAATGACAGTCACACATATGAACACCCTCTCCAGTCATAGGAGAGACAGTGTGCCATCCACAACCTCAGCCACATGGCCAGGCAAGGATATGTGTGACATGGACTTGCAGCCACCGCAGGTAAGATCAGACACCTGCCAGATTGCAAAACAGCCACGCACACCATCAGAAAGAACACAACAGTAACCACAAAATGACAGCCAGATCACACAACTAGACACCTAGACACACACACACAGTGCAAGCAGTCATAGAAACACCCTAAGGAAGCCAGCGCGCTTCATGGATCGTGTTCTCTCTCTCTCTCTCTCTCTCTCTCTCTCTCTCTCTCTCTCTCTCTCACACACACACACACACACACACACACACACACAC